GGTCAACAAGATTTTCATTACTTTCAAACTTCGAGAGTTCAATCCAATTTTCTACGGCCTTCTTTGCTAAAGAGTCAGCCAAACTGTTTTTTGATCTAGGAAGGTAGAGAAACTTAGTGGACGGGAACAAGGAAATTAAAGCTACAATGTCTTGTAAGATCCCGTAGATTTCTTTGATCCGCTCGGAATTGTTTATGGCGCCAGTTAGAACTTGAGAATCCGACTTTGAACATGCCGAGTCACAATGCAAGTGCCTCCGCCATGAGAGGAGAAGTAATAAAAGGTTCCGCCTGAGCTCCTTGATCGAACCAAAGGAGCTCGTGATCTGATGTTCTTTTAAGTTGTATGATCCATCCGAAACCTCCCGAACAACGATCTTGGTATCCGTATGACATCAGAACATATGGGAATGAAAGCAGTTCCTAGTAATTCCTTACTTCGACGACTGAAGGCTGTTGTCGATGATTATCCGGGAAGCTCTGTATTGCGACTCCCCTTTGCAGCTTACCATTCTCGACCATTACACAATGCAATCATCACAGTTTCTTGTTCCGATATCACTCTGTTTTCAAAGATGAGTTTGTTTCGAGAAGACCAAATAGCCCAAATGTACTAAAAGATTAATATTAAATGTATTTTATTAAAATAATAGAAATTTAATAATTCAAAATCGAGACAAAGATAAATACATTTCAAGATGGTTGATTACGATTTGTCTTTTTTTTTTTTTAATGGGCCGATTGGTAAAACAACCATAGTTTTTTAACGGCAATGTGTAGGTTTATCATCTGATGATAACAAACAACTTAAGAAGACTGAAGAAATCGTCTAGACACAGAAGCAAAATATGTTGTTTTACCGTTTAAAAAGACTTCTTCTTCTTCTTAAGGGAAAACTGGCTGGTGAAGAAGTCCCGTTGTTTCGGGAAATCCCAACATTATGTTAAGATTCTGCAACGCTTGTCCTGAAGCTCCTTTCACAAGATTATCAATCTGCAATACAAAAAAAAAGTGCTTTTGTTTATATATAAAATGGCGACGCGGGAACAGTTTATAACAGAGAATGGTGGTGCTTAATTACCACTGAGATTATGATAGCTCTTCCAGGGATTCGATCAGGAAATACATTCATAAAACAATAGTTGGATCCTCTAACGTTGTGTGTCCGAGGAACAGCTCCTTCATCCAACACTTTGACAAATTCTTCATCCTACAAAACATTTTCCAAACATAAGTAATTTAACAAAAACTAGTAATTGGCTTATAAACACAAGAGTAATCATCACCTCATAAGACGTTCTTAATTGCTGGTATAAGTTTTTGGTTGTAATTCCGGAAGCCATTTCCACATATATAGTCGATTGCATTCCGCGAATCTAACCCAAACAGCGAGGGGTCAACTAATGATGTAAGGTGAAAACTATAAACAACATGCTTAAGGTTATTTATACCATTGGCATGAGATGCGGTGTAAAACTGACTGTCACTTTTGATTGTGCAACATCAGACAATCCTTGTTCAATTTCAGGAACTGTAAAACATTAAAAAAAAATTGAATTCAAATACAGAACCCAAATCTTTAATCATTGTGATAATCAGTTTGTGAATATACCATGGCGATGCCGTGTGACACCATAAGAAGAAATTCCTTCAGCTATCTCAGAGTAAAGATTTGCCTCCTTAGCACCACGTCCTGATAAAAAAAATTCATATCCGTCAAGAAATGAAAAACATTCCTATTGCATCATTGTTCATGAATAAAGTCTGCAAAGTAAGTTCAAACCTGCTCCACTAACACCAGACTTTGCGTCGATAATAATGTTTTCATGTTTGATGAGATTTGCCTGCACCAAAATCAAACAAATTACCTCGAGTTGAAATGAGATAAGAAAATCTGATAAATTTTGAATTCCCAAAAAGAAAAGACAAATGAAACCTTTAATAGAGGAACAAGAGGAAGTTGAATCGAAGTCGGGTAACAGCCTGGATTAGCCACAAGTCGCGCCTTTTTTATGTCCTCCCTTGATAACTCTGTCAGACCATACACAACTTCTTTCTGAACCCAGCATGACACTAAGTGAGTGTAAGCATTATGCAAACAACAGACCAAGAAACAAGCAATAATTACAAGAGAGAACTACCTGTAACTCTACTGCCTGGTGTGGCTGACCATACCATTCTTCATATTCTGAGATATCACGCAACCGGAAGTCCTAAAAGGCATATTTGAAATAAGCATATCACCGAAAGAAAGGAACTAAAAAAAACACGTCTTCAGAGCATTACCGCTGAAAGATCAACGATTTTTAATGCGGTGGGCAGTCCCTTGATGATTTCCTGTACAAATACACACTCATTTCCGTTGAGCTATGAAAATCTTAGAAACAAAATTGAAATGGATTAATCAAGAGTAAATGGACCTGGGTTGTTCCGTGAGGCAAACAGCAGAATACAGCATCCACAGTAGAAAAATCTGCATCCTTTACCGAGATCAATCTAGGTAGTTTCTGAGAACAGAGAAAAGGTTTATTCACTGATCAATCGACGCCATCACAAAGTACCATTGAACAGATAGAAATCAATCATACTTGAGCTCTGAGGTGCGGGAAAACGCTTTCCATTGACTGCCCAGCTTTTCTATCAGCAGTCATCAGTGTGACACCGAAATGCGGATGATTCGCAAGAAGCCTAACGATCTGCCATTCAATAAAAAACGGATTCCAAATCAAATCTTACTTACTCATGCATTTGAATCAAACAAAACTTGGATACCTCAAACATCAAACTCAACAAGGCTTAATACTGATGACTGAAAGACTTAATCTTCCTTTTCGTCCGAATAAGCTAAACTCAACAAGTTTGCATTTACTTAGGCTAAACAAGGAGGCCAATAACCATAAAGCCACAAACTTGCAACAAGATGCATACCACTTAAGCTCTGATTCATTTCAAAACCAAAAGAGATCACTAGGAAAAAGCAAATTCCAAATGAAACACAAAAAAAGTTGACCTTGCACAAACCTCAGCACCAGTGTAGCCACTTGCACCAAGAAGACCAATCCGAATATCCTTTTCAGATTTGACAGAGCTATTGGCTGAAACTCTAAAGCTCAATGAAGATGGAGAAGCAAGCCTCTTGACACGTTTATCCGATACACGAATCATCCTTTCACGCTTTTCGAAACAGAAGAAAAATCATTTGTACAATCAATATATGAAAGTTGTACGAAACAATGTTTAGAGGAAACAAAAAAAAACCTTGAACCAGCATCCTTGTTCGAAGCAAATCGAACTAATAGTCGACGCACTACTCATTTTTGGATTGGATTCTGTAACAATCACACAATTCAGAATCGGAATACCTCAATGCAAGAAAACCTAAACTTTTTGAAAAGAAGAAATCGAGGGTTCTTGAGATTGAGATATCCATTTTGGTGGTGAAAATTGCAGAAACCCACAACTCCTTCTTAACTATTTCTCTCTCTAATTTGATATCTAAAGCGAGAAAGCTTACATTGGCGGCGGCGGAGGCAGCGGGCGAGGAAGAATAGCACCGGCGTTGAAGCTTTCCCTTAGGAACGAGAGAAATCTTTTTTTTACAAAACCCTGTTTTGTTATTTGTCTTTTTTTTTTTGTTGGTCGTCTAAAACATTGTATTTACATAATAAAACACTGGGTCGGGTTAATTGACTCGGTTTGTTTTATTGAGTGGGTTTATCGAGCATGGTTAGGTTAGCTTAACCATATCTGTGGTTACATTTAACTATAATTAGATTCGAGATGGAAATTGAACGTCGTTTACGGTTCCGGTAACACCGTCTACAGTGCCGTCAATCTTCGTTAACCCGTGTGTGTAAATTGAGCAGAGGCCAAGAGTTGGAGAATTAAAAGAAAAAATGACTCAAATCCCATGAAACTATGCGAATATGACTA